TACTTAATGGGGTATTGTGGGACAATAACTTGGCTGTTTGGAGTAGGGAGACAAAAGCAGGATCTTCTTCCTCCCTGTGTACCACAATGGCTTTCTTTTAGTTGTGTAAATGATATTTTGGGCACTCCAAACTATAGAAAAATGACTACTCAAAAGTTTTGGTAAGTCAGCAGCCCCAGACGCTGTATTTTGCTACTCCAAATTGTAGTCCCGTCAGTTCTTTTATAAGGTTTAAGTGACTCCAGTATTGACGATTTCAAATTTTGATTCTTAAATTAAACAATTGCAACAATTTGCTTCTAAGTAAAGTTGTTTCCATTTCTCCGAGGAATGCTTCCAGGACTACAGCTGATGCTGCTGTATCACTGTTTATTGTTTCCTTTTTACTCCTGTACTAATGTATCCTCACAGTATTAGAGCAGGGTAGCAGTAGTTTTCAAACTTGTTGTTTTACCTGTAAACTCATTTTTAAAACAAACAAGTTTCCTTGTTCTTTGCATTCATTAACAAACTGTGGTAGCCTTCTATGAATGTTTTTATTTACTAATGACTTAGAAAATTAACTTCTCTCTTTTTGTTTATGTCCTTTGTGGGGTTTCTGATCTAATTTGTCATAGAGTTCAATCTGTATGCTTTGAATATGTTTCTCTTTTTTTTCCTATGGTATTACATGAAATGTGCACCTACCTGTATAAAAATCTATGATATTTATTTAATGCTTTTAATGTGTGACATTACAAATATCAAGTTTATTTGAAGTTAAAGATTGATTCTATGTCTTACAGTTACATACAATATGCATGCATTACACGCATATATGCATACATAGATTGCTTACATACATTACATGCATACATTACATAATTCCAACTGAAAATAACTTTAGAATTTTTCATACAGAGTGCAGACTTAGTAAAGGTATATGAAAGTTCTGTATTTGAAGAACCTTGCAGTACACTGATGAAGTACTTGCATTAGATTTTAATACTGAATAATTCCACGAAATTTGAAAGCTGTGAATTGGCATAACATCTTTAACCTTGACTGGAGTTTGTCATTCTCTGTGTAGAACTCAAATCTATAGGAAAAGTTGTCTCACTCTTTTATTATGTTCTCTTTTTATTGTTAACATCATACTCTATTCAAATGGGGAGTAGTATCTTGAAATTAATGCATGGTTATTAAAACAGGATTAACTGAAAGCATCTAAGACTGTGTGTAAATAACCTTTAAATTGGGCTGCTCAGCTGTCCTTTCTCTTCTCTATTCGTTTATGTTCCTCACTTTCCAAACTGGGAATGTACTTAGCCAAGCACACAGGCATGCACAAATATATCTGTATCTTCCAAATTAAAAGGGAATCTTGCATTTAGAAGATTCCATAATTGAAAGTATGTAAAATGAACATGAAATCCTGTACTAATTTCTGTGTCATTTTCTTATGTCTGAACTTAATTGTTATTCAGAGTCTGTGTTAAAGGCCCATACATGTTCTATAATGTTTGATATCCATCATAGTTTGAACTTAGACACAAAGAATTGTAAGGAAGTCTACCTCATAAATGTGGTTTTGAAATATTAAAGAAATAAAAATATGGAATAAAATGTTCCATATGTTTATGAAATAGACATCTTTGTAGTGGATCTGGGGTCCTTTGTGACTTCTGGTATTTTCTGTCTTTCATATTTTCACCTCCTAAATCTCATTATATGACAGCTGAAGATATTATCACTTTAAAATATTATTTTCCTTAAAAGAAATTGGCTCAGCTAAGGCCAAGGGAGATTGATAAAGATCTTCTGTGTCTGTAAGCATGACCCTTCCACTGAGCCCTACAGAGAAATTTCTTTCCATGTAGCATGCTGGGTTTTCTTCTGCTGACAGGTGAATTAGTTATCGAGTACATATTCCATAATGACATCTCAAAGTTTTTAAAAAACTGAGTGATAAAATAACATTTTCTTCTGTGAAAATTGTAAGATCAAATTTTAATGCCTGTGTTTTACTCAACATTCTTCTATTCTCACCTTAAACTGAACTAGTACTGAAGATGTAATTTTTCTTGAATTGACTTTTCTGCATATAGAATTCTTTTTTAAATCTATGAAGATGGTAAGTAAAAGGGGAGGAGAAAAGACCATCGCTTTTCTCAGCAGATTTTAAAACTCTTTAACTCTGCCAGTTTGACATGTATTTGATATGTGTCTTAGAACTGAAATATTTAAATCTGTTATTAATTTATTCTTTTCACTGGAAACCCACACAGCATTTCAGATATTTGATATTATCTCCCGTTTTCAGTCAAGCTGCTTTCAGTCAATCTGTATTCTGGGTGTTCTAAATACCTGGACCTCTTTGTAACTGATGTAGCACTTCTGTGATCTGACTGACAGCATTTATGGGCTAATTACAAGAATCAAATGCACTGGAGCCTTACAGTACTTTGAAAGTTTGGCCCTTCATGCCAAATACTGCATTTGGTAAGTGTAAACTAGCACTGTTTTGGAAGTAAGACAGACATAAATTGGCCTTCCAGTGTCAATTCATGTGTCTAGTATGCGAAGTTTGCAGAGAGACCACAGGTGGAAGAAAGTGTATGCGCTTGTGTTATGTCCATTGAATGTGTTTCTTTAGCTTAATTCAACACTGAGTGTCTTTGTCTTCAATAATATTGCAGTGGAGGTAGGAACTGTATGTAAGTGTGGTGGCTTGACCTTGGCTAGACCCCCACCCAGCTGCTATTTTGCTCTTCTTCCTCAACCCTCCTCAATTTCAAGGGGAGAAAATAAGATTAAAAAGTTTGTGAATTGAAATAAAAATGGGGAGATCCCTTACCAATTACTGGCACTGGAAAAACAGTCACAACTTAGGGAGAATTACTTTAATTTATTGACATTTAAAAGTAGAGTAAAATGGGGAGGAATAATGGCAAAAACTAAACCACTGTGCCCTGCCCCACTCTCTCCAAGCTGAACATCTTCATTCCCAACTCCTTTAACTTCTCTATGAGTACAGGGGTTATGGGGAACGGGAGTCTGTCCACGATAGTTTCTCCTTGCCACTCCTTTCTCCTCATGCTTTTCATGTGGTCCAGTGTGGGTCCTCCCCATGGTCTGCAGCCCTTCAGGGTAAATCTGCTCCAGCATGAATCCTCCATGGGCATTAGTTCTTGTAAGGACAATCTTCTGCAGTGTGGGCTCTGTGCAGGTGAGGTGACAGTTCCTTTGGGAAATATCCACCTTGCTATGGAGTGGGCCTCTCCATGGGCTTCAGGAAAATGCCTCCTTTATCATGGTCCTCTCCAAAGCCTGCAGGGAAGTCTCTGTTCCAGTGCCTGGAGCACCTCCTCCCTTTCTTCTCTGACCTTGGCATTTTGGGGGTTGTTTCTCACACTTTTTTTCTCTCGCTGCTCGCTGCCTGGGCAGAGTTTTGCCCTTTCTTAAATATGCTTTCTTAAATATGCTTTCACGGAAGCACCACAAGCTTCAATGGTGAACTCAGCTATGTCCTGCGTTGGGTACATTGTAGAGAAGCTCCTGACCTCTTCTTGCTGACACCACCCCTGCAGCCACCCCCAGTGCCAAAATCTTGTCACCGAAACTGACTATAGTAAGATGAAGGGAAAGAACATAAAAAAAAGGTCCACAAAGGCATACATTTATTTTGGTTTGTTGTGTTCCTTACTGTGGTTAACTTCTTTATTTGTTTTAGTATCACTTCAACTATGATAAAGTTAATATAAGGTTATCACTACTCTAAACAATTATAATAGAGCAGTTTTATGAAAGACAAATTGAACTTACTTTGAGGAGCACATAGAGTGTGTTTTTGATTGCTAAAAAACACATATGGAGGAATGAGGCTTGTATTTTTAAACTCCTGAAAGATGGAAAGGGGCAGAGAGCAGTGCAGATGAGTGTCTTTTCCACTGTGTATGTAGTGTTTAGTATGCTCAAAGTACTTTTACATTAGGGAGCACATTGTGTACTTTGCCTTTTCACCCATCATTTTGAAATAATCCAATTTTAAAAATCTTGCAAAAGTATTCTTATTTCCTATTAACTGTTTACTGAACAGCCTTGTTTAGATTCAGCCTATAGTTGAGGAGAAGGTCTTTTTCTGTCAATGAGATTGTATTCTCTTTGTACATATGGGTTATGTACCTCTCTAAAAAGTTGTGTATTTGCAGGTTCTTGCATACCTCAACTCTCTATTAGTGACAGGTATTGTTTGATCAACTATTTATTTAGTAAATCATCAGGAACATAATTTACTCAACAGGGTGAAATGTTTTAGAACCTTTATTCCTGGGTGGCAAGCTGAAGGCCTTGATTGTGCAACAACCAACATGTGCATTTAATTTTGAGCTACTAATGGACATCCCCTGGCTGCCTGGGCTGCTCTGATATTTGTGGGACATTACTTTTCATATTTTCATGATGAGATATCATTTTGAATCTTTGCACACTTCCTTATGTAGTTTTACATTTTACATTGGTCAGTATTGGTGCCTTAAAGACAAAAGCTATAATATCACCCTGGCTGAAACATGGATATGCTGTTGTGCAGGCTTAACATTGCATCTCAGGAAGTATTTTTAATTTCTATTTTAGATATCCATTCTGAAAACATTTAAATCTCAGTTTTATGAACTTAGACTATACAATTGATTTTGAATGGACAAAACTTATTTGGTCCAGAATTTTATTTTATAAAAAATTACAATTAAACAAAATATGAAGAATTCTTAGTAAATAATATATGAAAAATTAGTGTCACATGCAGTTTTAAAAATAGGTCTTGATAAAATTGTTTTTGTCTTAACCAGAGTTATCTTTCTCTTCATAATGATTTAGTAATGCCATTTTCTGAAATGGCGTACTTTTTTCCTTTTTTTAGTGGTCATTGGCAGCTCTGAAAACTGTGGTATTTTAAAGTGGAATTATAACAAGTTTTGTTAATGATATACTAAAGTTAACCTTATATTTTATTATTTCAGTTGTTCATGGTGGACAATGGAGCAGATGACTGGAGAATAGCCATGACTTATGAGCGTATTTTCTTTATCTGCTTGGAAATACTGGTGTGTGCTATACATCCCATACCTGGGAATTATACGTTCACATGGACAGCCCGGCTCGCCTTTTCTTACGCTCCATCCACAACAACAGCTGATGTGGATATTATTTTATCTATACCAATGTTCTTAAGACTATATCTTATTGCCAGAGTTATGCTTTTGCATAGCAAACTTTTCACTGATGCCTCATCTAGAAGCATTGGAGCATTAAATAAGATAAACTTCAATACCCGTTTTGTTATGAAGACTCTAATGACAATATGTCCAGGAACTGTACTGTTGGTTTTTAGTATCTCATTATGGATAATTGCTGCATGGACTGTCCGAGCTTGTGAAAGGTAAGGTTGTTTTGTTTGCTTAGTTCTTTCTATCTTGTTTTGTCTCTTAAGTTTTGAATTCGTGGGACCTAAATATTTATTAGAATGGGGCTTCCTAGTCCTTGATATTTTGAGTGATGGGTGGGTTATATTCTTTGACAGAGATTGTCAAGAGTGCTTTGCCTTTTAGTCTGAAGGACTTCTGCAGAGAGGTTTGTGCTCCACTGTTTACTGTAGCATTACTATTTGATTTCAGTGTTTTGATAAAACTTAAAACAGTAGAGATGCCATAAAATGTATTTAAGAGTAATTGTTGATATTTTGCATTGATATGATTTTTCATTTATTTTGTTTGTAATATAAATTTAGTGAGGATAGAATGGAAAATGGTTGGGGGGTGTAATTTGAGTTTTATTTTGCTGTTAAGAAAAAAGTGCAAAATACGTTTGAGAAGTTGGCAAGATCAGTAAAGGAGAACAGGCACAATACTTGCAGTAATATATCTTTTTCTTTCCCCCTCTGAAAATCAGAAAAAGTGATTTTGAGAGTCAGACTTGCATTCATTTCGTCTAGTTTTCCAACCTCCCCTTCTCACAGACTTCAGTGTAGGTGCAGAATAAATGGCTGTCAGTGTTGGCAGCTTGAAATTGAATTTCCCAAACATAGCTTTAACAAAAAAAAGAAATGAGCTTCTGATTGCCTAAGATTGCTTAGGAATATGCGATATATTAACTCTAAAATAATTAGGATGATTCTCTATGGAAGATTTAATGCCTGAGACAGCTCTTGGATCCTGGAATGGATTTTCCTTATCAAAGCTGGAAGATCATCACATGTTTAAGGCATTTCTGCTGCTGGTTGTTTACTGTTTTATTTTTCCTGTTCCTTTCTGTGTCTGCCCATTTTGGAAGCAGTTTAGGGGAGTTACTTGTGACAACGAGCTGATTTAAATCAGCAGTTAAATTGCACACCAAATGTTACACTTTTGTAGTTTACTTCTTGCATTACTTCTCAACTTGTTAAAAAGAAAAATACTTGATCTTATAAACCGAGTCATGTTATTGTAGTTTTATTGTTAAAATTGCTAGAATTGTGGAGTGTAGTTTGTTACAGGAGATGCTTTATGTCAGTGTCTTTTCATCATATTACAGCAAGACTAATAATTTAAGAGTATTCTGAAAACACCATATTAAGAATAACATAGTTTCAAGACATTCCTATAGTGCAGCAGAGGAGCACCCTTGATTTTTACTCAATCTATAGCAGCTGTGTTTTAATGAGCATGTTCTTTTTTCAGATGTAATTGAATTCTGCAAAGCTTCTCCTCTTTGTCTCATATTCTTCACTTCTGTTCCTACCAGTTTTTTTCAACAGAATTAGTGCTCAGGAATTCCTGAGTGTCTACTCAGGCATTTCTCAGACTGTCACTTTTTAAGTGATTTTGAATGATTTAAGCATCCATTGCTATCACAGTTTTACATGTAACTGGTGGTGATGGTTGTTGTTATTATTCAGCCTTAAATAATTACTGTGTTACTAACTTTTTAATACATGGTCATTCAAAATAAGCTTATAAAACTTGTCTCTCATAGGGAAAATTACTGAAAAATATCAACTTCTGTCTGATACAGATTTGTAAAATATATTTATTTATCTTATATAAAGACGGCTGGAGAAGAAGGTGTAGTATATAAGTAATACTTAAAATAAATAAAAGAAACAAAGACCACCTCACCCATTTTCCAGTCAGGGAGAATGAAGGCAACACTTTCATAAAGTTTTAATGTTGTGTGTTTATTTATATGTAGAAAGTGACACCATTCTGCATCGCTATGATCCTGGGAAGAAGTTTATTTATTTGGTTAGGTAAACTGAGCTCAGGGTTGCAGAAAGCTGAATTTTCTTCAACTCTCTGCTAAACTAGTAATGGATTTTCCATATTTTAATTTGCAGTTGCTGTTTTTGAAGTGACTGTAATGATTTGGACAGTAGGCTGGATAGCCATAGACTCCTCTAGAACTGAAACAAAAAACAACTAAAAGCAAGTTAAATATGGAAGTGAGCATCAGATTAGTATGTCCCTAGCCTTCTGTGAGTGGAATCCAGTCGAAGGTTATTTTTCTTCGTGTTTAAAAGTAATTGTTAATTTTATGTTTCAAAACCACAAAATGGCATGTATTTTGGTCTTGGGAACTAGATACTTATGTCATTCATGATAGCTGCACAGCCAATTTTGCATGTTTTGACTCAGATTTTTCCCTTAAGAGGATATGTTTGTGTTTTGCCAAATGAATGATACTGACTATGGATACCAGTTAATAATTAGCCCATCAAAAACATGTAAATCCATGGCCCATAGAGAAGTAAATTAAAAAAAAAAAGCTTTCCAAAGAAAACTCGAAAACGCCACACATTGGAATGCTCTTAACAGTTTGCCAATTGAAAGTAAACATCCCCTTTTTTTGCATAGTTGGAGACAGATGGAATAGCCATTATCATCAGAAAGGACAAATATGGCCACTCAGTCTTTTCTATGCTGTGTAGAGATCATATCCTTAGAAGATGTCTCCCAAGATCTTAATGGCTTTGATTTGCTTGGTAGTTAGATGTTTAGTTTACAAAAATAAAGTGTATTTTTTTCAACTGCTTTTAAGTTGATCTTTTGCTTAGCTTTAATTAGAAGATTTTGGGTGCTGTTTTTGCAGTAGACTATTTCATGTAAACAAAATTATCCTGAAAATAATTGTTATCATTCGAAGGAGTATTTGCTGTTCTGCTTGACACTATATAAAAAAACATAATGAATTTTGATACATTTAACAGATTTTAGGAATTTGGTTTGATGAGGGGTGATTTACATTAATGAAATTAACGGTGTTAAATGTTTCTCTACATCACTCTAGCACCAAGCTCAGCAAGTTTCTGTTCTATAGAAGCTTTACATAAAGGTTTGCCCTAGTGGTTTTAATATTTCTTTGGTGTATTAAATCATTTAGCTGACCATCCAAATTGGAACAGGATGATGGTGATAATATTTAATAGACTAAAATACTGGAATTTTTTAATTTCAATAGAAAATTGACTAGGAGAGATTTGAAAATTGGATAGGAAAGATTCTCATTCTATTCCATGTTCTCAGTGAGGGGGGAAATTGAAGTAGGCAGTGACTTGTTACTGTGAAGTTGTGTGTGCTCAGCAAAAGCTGTTGCTGCTGAATGACAGCCTGATTTTGAGATTGTTCTTCTATTCAAAGCCAGGCTTTCCTTATTGCAGGCTGTCCTGGGAATAGGAAGGGAGATTTGGAAGCACTGATTTTCATAGTGAGGAAGGTAACATGAAAGAGCATTGTTATCCATCTCTCTGAAGACAACCCCATAGAGACAGGTCATGGGTTGAGCCAGAGAAGTCGACTGCCTGAATAAAGACTTCACCGCTTTAATGGTCATCTGACTGATCACTTGATATACACTGAACTAAGACAGGACATGTGTCTTTCTCAGTGCCTTAATGTCTGTATTGTTAGCTCCCAGAATGCTAATTATAGCAAGTGACACTTTGGGTTGGTGAGCAAGGTATTTTCCAGGACCAGTATAAGGTCATCCGTGAGGGCAGAATGTGGTACAGATAATGGTGGTGGACAGTCAACTGAGTATAAACAGGTTTGTTAGGGCTGCAGAGTGATCTTACTGAGGAAATCTGTAAAGAAAAGGTAGGGAAAGCACGAAGTGTTGCATACACAAAGCCAGAAGTTCTTGCTGGTTTATTGCTCAAATTTTTATTTCTGTTTTGAGGGGAATATTAAATTGCATAGGTTTTAATATCTGTCTTCTCATTGGCAGCATCAAAATATTGTTTTCTGTCATATATGGGCTTCATAATGAAAATCTGAATTTTTTGTTAGATCTAACCACTGCAAGCATTTTACTTTTTGCAGTCTCCCACACAGATCTTGTTGCTGAAAATAGCTCCGTGCATGGTCATCAGTTGTTCATAGCAGTTAAAACAGAAAAGTTTGGTTTCTTAAGGAAAAGAAAGTTAATATGTGTAGCATTATGTAATTGAAAAATCTGACAAATTTGCTTCACTCTTCTGTAGGACTGTCTCTGCTGTGAGAAGTGTACTGCTTTTCTAGGTGGAAGGTAGTCACTCCTGTTGATCTGTTATTTTTTCTGTGCAAAGGAAGAAAGAACCTTGTTTTCTGAATACATGACAATAATGTGCCCGTGTATCAGGGCAATATGAACTACATGTTTCCACGATACACTGTTGTACATCCAGGCAGCTCATATCACATGCCCTGAGTTACTGTGGATTTGCAGCAGCAGAACTGAAAACAGAACTGGATTTTCTTCTTGTGCAGAGAGTACGTTTTTGGCACAATCTTTGGTTCTGTTTGTACCTCTCTCTAACTTCTGGCAATGAAGTCAGATCAGACTGAGTGGTTTGTTTAGTCAGCAATTTCTTCCTCTCGTTAGCTTATGCTCTGTATTCTTTCCTTCTTTTAACAAAAAACAAATTCAAACAAAAAAAACACAGAAAAAAGAAATCCATCAATATGTGAAGGTGAAATCCTTTTCTGCTTTTTTCTCATCCTTGTTTTTTACAAATAAATATCTGTCTTATTTGTTGGAAATATGATGCCATCATAAAGTTTCCAGTAAGCAGGTCAGACATGACAACTGGGAGGCAAACGTTAAGATACACTGACACTTTCAGTTGTTAATTCATGCAGGAAAAAATGTTTCTTAGCTATCTAATTTCCTCTCAATATGTATTTCAGTTCTTTGCTTGTCTTGAGGACCTTATTTGACACTGTACACTGCATGCATACTCCCAAGGCCACACTCCTGTGGGAATTGCTTTTAGCATTCTCTACAGTGCTATTGTGAAGATTCATGTTCTTAGCTGAAAAAAAACACCACCAAAATAAACAAACACCACCATCACCAAACAAAACAACCCAAGCCTCGATATTTAATTTTAAACCTATTTTTAGCTTCAGAAGGTCAGAAACAATGACA